AAATAGTCAGGCTGAATTCCAGTTTGTCGTTTTAATAGAAAACAACTATTTATTAGTGGGAAATGTATGGCATTGTTAGCCGAGGGTAAGGCAGGGAAGACCCGTTTATACAACACTATTCTTTATTCATGTCATCATCATTTTATTTTTAATATTAAATGCAATATAAATAATTGTGTTTGTCCTTTGGTTTGTTTGGCTTACACACCTAATATCCAATAAAATCCAATAAGAAATCAGTTCCGTTCCAGAACCTAAAAGAATCTAAAAATTTTACAAGTTTTTAATTTTTTACTCGAAAACCGTTCCTGAACCCACAAAACTGGTAAAACATGTGTTCTGTTCCCGTACTGCAAGAATCTACTACTTTTTACTACGATAACACACTTTTCTTTATGATATCGGCAAAAATAGTAAAAATTAGTAGATTCTTGCAGTACATGAACAGAATAATGGAATCAAATTTAAGAGGACGCAAAACAAAATGGCGTTTTCTTTGTAAGCATTTTACTCGAAAAATTTGGCCGATTAAAAATGGTAAACAGGAATGCCTGGCGGTTATCATGTTATAATAATAGAAGGTAACAGCAAGTGTTGTTGTACAAAAAACGATACAGCAACCACAATTAAATTTGTTTTTGTAAGTTATACTAGTGTCAACATCAAATTATTTTTATTTTGAAAATGAAATATTTTCGAATCCTCAAAATAAAAATTGAAAAACATGAATGAAAATCTATCAAATTTATATTTCTATCGCCTCCACATCTTTCCTATAATTGAGCTATTGTCACTTATATGTGTAACATATATGAAAATGCAGGGAATTGCGAATTATTCAATGAAGAAAGATTTGCTTCCTCAATCTTGAGTAAAACGAATACGGTAGGACATTTAATAAAGAACAATTTCGAATTTTATGCGTTCCCAATTTTCCTGTTGGGTGATTTTTAAAAAAAATATTTTGTCAAATTCATATTGACACTAGTATTACATTGGAATCAAATCAGCTGGGACTTGCTGTTACCTTTTATAATTGTACCATGGGCTGTTATGTTGATTTTGAAGTATTGCCATCTAATTTTGGCATCATCTTACATCTTACAAGTTTTAGAGGCAGGAAACTTCAAAAAAACTGAATACTGTCAAAGGCAAATTTATGAGAAAATTGCATGAGACTATAGTTATGCCATGGATTTACTATTAAAAAAGTACTGGAACAGACCAATTATTTGTGTCACCATTTGAAGTAGTTAAGAAATCGGACACAAATGGTATGTTCCAGTACTTCATTAATAGTAAAGCTAATAAAAGGGAAAATTTTAAAAATAATTTTAAAAGTTCGGGAACGCAAATCTAGTAAATATGCAAAAATTCCTGGCATTCCTGTTTACCATTTTTACTCAGACAAATTTTTCGAGTAAAACGTTTACAAAGAGAACGCCATTTTGTTTTGTGTTATCTAAAATTTGGTTCAATGTTTTACAAGTTTTGTGGATTCAGGAACGGGTTTCGAGTTCTGGAACAGAGCATATAAATAACAATTCTTAATGAATGAATGCATTTTATATATTTCATGCGAATATACATTGCATATAGCTTAATATATCCAAAAAATGCATTGACGAAAAATATATATATATTTGACAACAAAACATAGATATGAAAATTCTTAGTAAATTTTACCAGTAAGATTTTTTCAATACTTAGTACACAACTGCCAATATTTCTCTCTCAGCTTACTCTCATTTACTGAACTTTTAAGTTATTAAACAGCATTCAGTAACAATTTGTAAAAAATTTTACGAATTATTGAGTATTATGTATCCCAACAAACATTTATGTTGAGAGAAATAAATCAAACACCAATATATCCGATATATAAATTGTATTTTTATTTACTTCAAAATGTTATTATTCACTTTTTGTTGTGTGTCCATATTGTTATTATATTTACTGTTTAATTATTTGTTGTTGTTTTTTATATATATAATCTTGTTTATCTTTGTGTTAATTATTTATATAAGTTATATGTTTCATTTATATAAATGTTTATAATTGTTGTTGTTGTTTGTGTTTTTGGATTTCTTAATGTTTGTGGGAGACTTATGAATTAAAATTCTTATGATTTCATTTCAATTATATATCAATCAGTTACAGATCATTTTTTAGTTTGCATTTTAAAAATTGATTGATCGAGTTTTTTTTTTTTTTGGAAAAGGTGAAAGATCTTTTAAAAAAACAAAAAAAAAAAATATATGAATAATTTATTTTTTTTTAAATAGCTATCACTTAAGTTTTTACAAATGGCGTTAATATTTAAAAAAAAACATTTTTAAGTTTGGTTAGTTAACAGAAACAAAAATTAAAAAAAAAAAGACAAAACATATTTAACTTACGTTTAAACAAGGAAAAATGTGGACAGATTTGGTGACACGTTAATGGAAGTTTAACATAAAACACAATACCAAAGTAGTAATAATAATAATTATAAAAAAATGGGGAGATGCTCGTAGAATAGAGAACTCTACAAATACTTTTAAGTTTTATACAGAAATTCATTTTGAAAGGTAAAGAAAAAAATATATATTTTTTAAAGTTCTTGAGAGTGTTTGATAATAATAACGTTAATAGGGTTAGTTAATAATTGTATAATAAAAAAAATAACTTAATGTTTTTAGCTAAATTTTATGATATATATTTATTAAAAAATATATTGTTTTTTTTTCTTTTTTTAATAATAACTAAAAAATTAAATGCTTTTAGTTTTCTGTTTTTCATTAAACACAATAATAAACATATGGATATAAAATAATTTTAAGAAGATTTTATTATATAAAAAAACCTAAATTTTTCAACTAAAGTTGAACTTTAAAAGAAAAAAACTTATGTTTCTTTAGATATTGTAATTTTTTTTTTTAAAAAAGGAAGTAAAAAACCTAAATAACATACTAGATTTTCTATATATACGATTATGTTTGTATATATAAAGAATAGAATACGGATTGTATTTTTTATTTGCAATGATTTTTTAGATATCTAAGCAGTGAGCGTGAATTTTTGTTACTTTTTTTCTTTGCATCGTAAATATTTATATGAACAAATGAGTGACTTTTTGTGTGTTTTGTATTTATGTATGATACATGGGTTGGGTTGTTTGATGTGAAAAAGTGATTGTAATATTTAAATTTATATATGTGGTGTTAATAATTTTGTTTTTTCTTATTTATTTTATAGGATCATTCTTTTTTCTTTACCTTTATTGACATTATCTGTTTAAGAAGTATTGATAGTTGGTTTGAATTTTGATCAATTCATCATGTGTGTAAAAAAAAATATTTGAAGAGGGGGATCCCAAATCGGTAAATCGATAGCGGCAGATTTTGTTAATAATATTTATTAGAATTCAAGAATATAATTTATGTTTTCGAATGTGTAAAAAAATATTGACTAGACTAGGGAATTTCCCGTTTTAAATAATTAGAATTTGTACCCTTGTTGACGAAATCATTTGGCAGAATTTTTTAAACTCTTCACAAAAATTTGTTTTTTAAAGATACCAATGACTGAACAAGAATTATAAACATTAAATATGTGATTAATTTTTTCAACATTTTTAAAATCTATTGAATTAGAGATACCGAACATAGGCAGGCATGTACATATTTTGTCCTCTTCAATTTAGAAACTGAAACCCTTTCAATAAAATAGCAATATGCGTCAAGAGCCCTTTTTCACATATTATCTTCAAAATGTTCCAATGTATATATACCTAACATTAGATAATATGCCGTAATATTGAATAATGACATTGAGTGGCACATCAACAAAATATGTCCCTAAAATTTTAAGAACGATTTACTATTTTACCATCGATTAAATTTTGTATTTCATTGGAATGATAATTTCAAACAGCCATCCTATATCGATATATGATTTTTATTATTATCAGAAATTAAATAAAAAAGAAACAATTATTTGTCCTCTTCAAATACACAAATGAATGTAGCAAATTTCCTTTATACATACATACCAAAGGTATTACCAACTATCAAGCCTTTTTAAATTATTGCTTTCTGTTTCTTAGTTTTTTTTTTGTTTTTTTTTTTTTTTTTGTTTAGGCTGCTGAATTGGCGAGAGATAGTACAATAAATATTTGCAAAATGAATTTAGTTTTCTAATTAAGAGATGAAGGGCGGGGCGTTTGATTTCTTATTATTTTTTGTTTAATTTATTTGTTAATTTGTTTTTATTTATATATATATTTATAGTTTTATAAACCTGGTTTAAATCTGGGATATATACTCTCTTTTTTTAAATATTATTATAAAAACGTGTTTTTTAATTAATGTATATATATATATATAGACTTCCACGAACCATTGAACCTTTGCACTTGTATTTAATGCTATTCAAATTGGTAATTCAAGTATGCTAGCGTACTTCAAAAATTGTGCATCGGCACTTTTGTTTCGTTTCGTTTCGTTTTTGTTTTGTTTCCTCCTGCTATCTTTCATTTCTTCATTATATATTTATGAATATAAATTGTTGATTTTCTTTTGTTTTTCTTTTTTTCAACTTAAGACTAAGTTTTAATTTCTTAATAAAATTAAAATGATATAAAATATTTAAATGATTTTCTTCATATATCAAAAACATTATTATCCACATTTTGTTATGGTTATAAGTTCTTTTTTCTTTTTTCTCATTGAAAAAATAGTAATAATAAAGGTGAAGAAGAAAATACACACAAAAAATACTTCTTTTTTTTCTACATCATGATCGTATCATTATCCTGTTACCGTTGGCTATTCAGTTCTATGAAAAGTTGTTCCATGTGTGGAAGAGTGTAGTAACGATTCAAAATAACAGTGATACTACAACTAAAAAAGAAACACAAATGACCGACAGACGTCAAATGGTTATAGGTAGTTGGTGTTTTACTGCCTAATTCAGCTATTGTTATTGTTGTTGTTTTTTCATAGTTTGATCTATGGACCATATTTGTTACCAATTCGCCATGCCCGGTTTATTGAGAGTCATGAAGTAGATTTGACACGATGAAGCACCTTTGGCACTGCTGAAGAATACTTTGTCATTGCGTTCGCACAAAAATTTCAAACGTTGTGCTTTTTTATGCATGAAGACACCGTCCAAGTGTCCTGTTTCAACCGAGCGTATCTATTTAATAAAACAATACGACATGGAATATTGATATTACAATCTTTTTTTTGCAAGTAAATTGTGAAGTTTTACCTCTATTGCTTTATTGCCCCAGCCCATAATTTGTCCAGTTCCAATATATGCCACTGATGTTGGCATTTCGCCCCACTGTTTATGAAAAGAAATTGAAAATATAATTTATTTTTATTTATATGAGGATTATGTTACTAACCTGTAGCACAATATTCTTGGACACACGTCCAACTGTATTCACGTAAACACCTTCATTATCGTAGCATAATAATAATTGCATACCATTTGAATTTGGAAGAGCCACAATACAGTGAGGAATGATTGCACCCTGAGTCTGAAAGTTATCAAAGAAATTACATTAATAACAACAAAAAGAACAGTTGAATGCTATAGGAGTTGTCCACAGTTTGCCGATAATAGGAAGCCTAATATATCTCATGAATAACTTCGTATCAAATAAGCAGTCGCATATAGGGTCACGGATGAAATGAGAGTCAATAATCCTTTGGATTGATAAGGCAAATATTAACTCCCCTAAATTGATCAATAGAAAACAGCTTGAGATTGGTAACGTGATTAAACTCGATTAACGACATCTGTATGGAACGAACCTAACAGGTCTTTAAAGAATTAAATTCAAGATACAATTTTTTGTTGTTGTTTTTATACCCTTCACCACATAGAATCACTTTTTGCGTCGATCTGCCCGACTGTTTATGTTAAATTGTAAAATAAATACAGGTCGCAATAATAATCCGAATTGGATGAAATTTGGTACAAGTCCTTTATTTGGACCAAGGACGAACCCTACTGAAATTGGAAAAAAGCGGCTCAGATTTAGATATAGCTCCCATATATATTTTCGTCCGATTTAATGTAAATGGTTCACCAAAGTCCCTATATATCTTTCGATTGTACGAAATTTGGTATAGCGTACTGAATTAAGCCCATAATGATGTGTGTTAAGTTTCGTGAAAATCGGTTGTGATTTAGATAATACTTCCATATATATTTTCATCCGATTTAATGTAAATGGTGCACCAAAGTCCCTATATATCTTTCGATTTGAACGAAATTTGGTATAGGGTACTGAATTAAGCCCAGAATGATGTGTGTTAAGTTTCGTGAAAATCGGTTCTAATTTAGATAATTCTTCCATATATATTTTCATCCGATTTAATGTAAATGGTGCACCAAAGTCCCTTTATATCTTTCGATTTGGACGAAATTTGGTATAGTGTACTGTGTGTTAAGTTTCGTGAAAATCGGTTGTGATTTAGATAATACTTCCATATATATTTTCATTCGATTTAATGTGCACCAAAATCCCTATATATATTTCGATTTGCACGAAATTTGACACATCGTCTTGAATGATGTGAGTTAAGTTTCGTGAAAATCGGTCCAGATTTAGATGTGCACTATAGACCCAAAGTTTGTCCGATTGGCACACAATTTTGTACAATGAAAATGAAATCGGTTCATCTACCGTTGTTTGTTAGGAAGCATATGTAGAATATATCCAAAGTGGTGAAGGGTATCATATAGTCGGCCCAGTTCGACTTTACTACTATCCTTATTGGTTTTTGTTAGGGATATTTTGCACAACACAATCCAAATCCATGTTTTGACATAGCCCCCAAAAAATTTCGGTGCGTTTTTGCTCGCTGTTTACTATTATAACTACAACAATTACAAATACTTACATGCTTAGGAAGATAAATATCGTATACTTCAGCTGAATCCAAATCAACTGCATGAAAGCCCTCAGCTGAGCCATAAATAACCTTCAGTCTAGATTGATCTTCAATTGTAAGATCAACTAACAAGGGACGATGTTCCAATTCACCGAAATTCTAAAAAAAAACACAAAAATGAAAAAAATTCTAAAATATTTCGTACAAATGGAAATGATATTAGCATGGGATATATACCTTAAATGCCATAAATTTATGATATGGTTTGGGAGCCCAGGCATAAATTTCTATTGAGTCTTTTAATGCAATCACTAGGAACTTAATCCTTTCGTATTTAACAATTTTAAAATGTACAGCACCTTGTAAATCGCCAACATTTATCCAACCATTGCGTCGTTCGACTTGCTGCAATGGAAAAAATAGAAGAGAAATATTAGTACATACATATGGTTTTATTCGAAATATTAATTACGAAAACAGGCACCGATATTTCACTTGATAACAAATTTAGTTTGGGGAAAAGTAAACAAATGGAGAGAAATTTCCTTCTTATTCAATGGCTATGGAATGCGATATGAGTTGTTTATTATGAAAGTGGTTTAATAAGTCTAGTTTTTCTTATACCGAAATATTTAAGTAATTGTGCTTGATTTGTTTCAAAAAAAAAAAAAAAATAAAATAAAATAAATAAATAAATGATAAATGGTATTACTATGGTTTGTGGCTATACGCCCTTAAACACGATAGAATATACAACGTAATAGGTTTGCTAGAAAACCAAGATATCAGTATTAGAAACTAAAATGCACCTAAACCACTTTCAAAATAAATCACTCAGACCATGGATTGGAGAAATGAAAAAAACTATTGCCTATATTTTCAATTTTATATGGGATTATACTTACATCAGATAAACCATCGGTTCTCAATATTTTCGATTTGAGCCAGGATAGGTAGTATACACGTACACGATTCTTTTTGCCCGATATGGTTACCAAGATATTTTGACCTTCTAATACTTCCATTTGTTGGAAACGACGACGTGATATCAGTTGATAGACCTAAACGAAATATACAAGGCATTGGATTAGAAACTTTAATTCATTTTTAAATGAATTTTATTTAAATTGTAAATACCTTGCCCTGACCCGAACGATCCAATAACATCAGACCATTTTCTGTGCCTATCAATAGATTAACACCCCATAGGGCAGCACACAGTATTTCCGAATTGAAACGTTTCTTGTATTTGCGTATTTCCGGTGTATCACTCGATGCCTCGTGTGACGTGGGTGTAACATTGACATTAACATGTGATTCGCGTCTCGATGGTCCCGAACCGCCAGCACCAAAACCGAACGTAAGAAAACTGCGCTGTTTCTGTTGTAGGGCATACGGTGGAACAGGCAATGCGGCCGCCGATGTATTAGAGGAAGAAGAAGCAGATTTATGCAACAAATTAGTAATGCTACTGGTGGAGCGAGTTTTGCTAATCGAATTTTTGGGACTGTTTTGTCGCGACGAAGACGAATGCAACGAAATCGTGGATTGGGGTGAGTTATTTGAGCCGCCAATAAACGATTTCGATGGTGTGGAATGCACTGATGAGTTGATGGCCGCTTGATACTACATTTAACAAATAAAGAAAAAGAAAAGAAACAATATAACACATAATTAGTTAGATTGTTATTTACGAGAATGTAAACAAATGTATTTACATATATAAAGGATATGTTTAAAGGATAACCTTTTTTAAATATTAAAAATATCACAATGGAAGGAAGAAGTTTTATTTTATTGAGCATGCCCATGACACCTTAGTACTAGAAACTACACTTAAAAATTAATTTCATTTTTAATACAGCACACTTCAGTAAGGAATATATAAGTTGGGAATACAATTCTGGTTAGTCTGATTTTTTGCTTAATGATTAAGAGAGCAACAACATACATAAATAAGTGTAGACATTAAAATGGATGGATAGTATGAGAAAATGTCAATCTCTCTTTTTTTCTTTTTCTTATTAAACGTTTTGGTGTAAATACAAAATTAATATTAATAATTAAAATAAATGTGATTAGTCTTTCCCAGACGCCATGAAAAACAACATAAAAAATAATAAATTGAAACTTTCTAATTTTACAAAACCAAAAAATAAGTGTAAAAATGAATTAAATATCTGATAATACATTTCATTTTGATGTATAAATATTATTATGCGTGATTTTAATTAATATGAATATGCTTGTCTGTATGAAAAAATGGGTGTGTGTGTATGGTGGTTTGTTGTTTTTTTTCTGTTGTTGATTTGTTGCTAAATTATGAACATAACTTATAACAGGACTTAGTTTTTACATATAACTGTCGATACCGATGATGAGAATAAATTAATTAATTTAAATAAAGCAAGAGATAAAGACGACCTATTAAGATTATACATATTTTTAATAAGGAAAATACATCGAAACTACTTAGTTTTCTAATATTATTTACAATTTAAAAGAAATCGTCTGTGACCCCAACAATATGTATATGTTCTGGAGATGGAGATATTTAAGAATTTCTGTTGGGCAATACTGCAATTTCAATAGAAAATCTTTAGGAGAATTAGAGGCATGGTGCAATGAACTGTATAAAACAGGTATGCGATTTTAATTTGGAACACCGTCCCAGTATTATTTATAAAAATAAAAAAATCGTCTAAGCCATCAACATATAGATATGTTCGCGAGATCGAGACAGTTAAGAATTTCAATTGGTTCATATTGCAATATTAATTTATGTCTTTGTGCATATGTTTGTAACAGGCAAAAGGAAACGAGGAACCACGTGTCTAGTTCCTTTTGAGAATATGCATATAATCACTTTCTAAGTTGATTTATGCATGTGCGTCTGCCCATGTAATCTTGTGAACAAAGTACAGGTCGCCTTTTTGATCCGATTTGGATGAAATTTCGCACAAGTCACTCATTTGCCCTAAGGATGCACTCTATTGTAATTGAAGAAAATCGTTTCAGCTTTAAATATAGCTGCCATATATATTTTCGTCCGATTTTAACTAAATGATGCACCAAACACCAAAAAATATTTCCGATCTAGGCAAAATTTTGCACAGCCTACTTAATTAATTCAAGTTTGATGTTTTTTTGAAGTTTTTTTTTAATCGGTAACTCCCGAATATTTATCCGATTGAGACAGCATTTTGCACAGTGTACTGAGTTCCGTCCAGATTGACGTATGCGAAGTTTTGTTGAAATCATTTCAGGTTTAGATAAAACTCCCAAATATATTTCCTTCTGATTTTATGTGAATGGCTCAACGATAAGCTCACGTCTGTTCCATGCACACCACATAAAATTGTGGACAGCGCACTGTGCTGCAGCATAGCAAATGGTATATGCCACGGTTGCTCAATTAGGTCAAAATTTACATACATACATAATATTGCTTTCATACAAATGGCAATGACATTGAATTTATCATAGATTTCTGAATGGTATGTGTATGGGATTTTTTAATAAGTTCAAATATCTATGAGAATCACACATTTAATTTCGCCCAGTTCCATTTCAAAGGCCCTCTAAAGATTATATGTATGTTCTATCTACAGGATAATGTATATATTAGCATCTCATGTATGTACCCGAAGTGATGAAGGGTATCATATAGTCGGCCCGTCCCACTTTTGCGCTTTTCTTACTGGTTAGTAACAAAATTACACAGCTAAAGTACACAAACTCATTCCCATAACTTTTGTACAAACAGTGGGAGTTTTTGATTTTATTATAAAAATATATATGTAGTATAATTTTACTCAATCTCATATACATTAATTAATTAATAGACTAACACACACTCACACAAACATAATCTATGAAAAATGGTATAAACACTTCAAGATGCCATTTCAAAGAATTTCAGAAGTAAACAACAACATCATGTCATCAAAGATTTATAATTTTTGATAGGGAGATTTTCTACCCAATGAAATTATAAAACATAAAATTACAGCCATTTTCGGAGGCACCATCAGTTATCCTAACAAGTGAACCAATATTGACAATTTTTGGTAGGAAGTTTAAACGCCCAATGAGAACCTAAAATATAAAATTAGAGCCAATTGAGTTGAGGGTTCCAAAAATACAGAAACGTTTTATGGGAGTATACAAACATTTCAATGTTCTATCTTGAATGTTACGAGCTCTATCGTGATTTCAGCAGACGGATGGACATGGCTAAATCGAAACAGATTTTTTTTTGTATTTTATGGTGTCTTTGGTGAACGGAAACACTGTACCCTATGGTGGTATACAAATTGAAAAGTTCACTCACAGTATAAACTTGTGGACTGATCGGTCTATCAGGCAACTATATTTTTATTATACTTTGTAGTATAAACATCTATAACTATTTACCGAACAAAAAAATTGAACTTTGAAATATTCTCAGATCAGATTAAAATAATTTGTAAGAGGAGTGACAATATTGATTTGTTTTATAATTGACAATAATATAAATTTACTTGTAAATTTCGTGTTGGTTAAATAAATAAGTCATACATTTTTTCGAATCATTGGAAATTTAACCAAAACGTTTGTTTCCTATAAAAAAGTTTGTTGCTATCGTTCATTGGAACAATTAACCCTTTCAGTGTCAAATAAAATTTTTGTCGGAATAAAAATCTAAAATTTTGTACTTAAAATCATATAAAGGCATAGAGTTTAGAAAAAAAGGCAATTTTCATTTTAACAAAAACATCAATGTTAACGGTACATTGGATAACCGAAAATTCGCAAAGAAAGAGAGAATTTTTAAATGTCGAATATATTCGACAAAAACACTGAAAAGGGTTAATGAAATTCTTTGAAAAACCTTTGGAAATGTTAAAATTTACAAATATCTGATACCAAATTCAATTCAATATTGTATGTTTCTAAATATAAACAAAATAAAACATACATATTAATAAACCAACAACTGTATATTAATCAATGTAAATAAATAATTATACATTTATAAATAAATAATTACATACTTATGCTTCAACAGATATACGCAAAGAAGTGATGACGAGAAGAGGTGCTCTATACACACACACATTAATTTTTATCATATATACACTGGTGGATTATAACTGTAAATTCAATACATATATGAATAGATTTGTTTATTGCGATTATTAATTAACACATTGAAAAATGCAAATTTCAATTCAATTGTAACAGTTTTCCATTTTCAATGTGTTCATGGTTGGTCTAATTGATCAAAACGAAATGCAATCGATATATGTAGTAGGTGGGTGGGTGAGTGATTGAAAGACAACAGAGAGAAATAAATAAATATGTATAGTACTATAAAGTATGGAATTTACAAGAGAAATGATTTGAGTCTTTATTTTATTTTTATCTGGACTATATATGTATAGTATATAGGAGGAGTCGTTCTTAAGTTAAGCTAATTAAAGTGGTTGTTTTTTTTTAATTTTTAAATTTTAGAATTTTAATTTTTTTTTTTATTTTTCTGGTTGTTTTGTTTAATACTTACAATTTCTTTGTGATTGTTAGGTAAATTTGCCTAATTGAATATTGAAAATTCATACAGTGGCCATCAGCTCACAGAGAAAACAAAACGTCGCGGAAAGACAAAGCACAATATGGATATGAAGAAAAATATTTGTTTTTGGTTTATATATGGTTTGGTAGGTAGTTTTTTGATTTTTTTTGAGTTATTATCATTATTAAGGAAAATACGATAAATACGAAATAATAATTGGTAACAATAAATGCATAATTACTAAGAAAAACTAAATAATTATTAAGATATAAATAAAAAAGAGTGTTTCTAATTTTAAATAAGAATAATAAAACTAATAATTTAATATTTGTGCTAATAGGAGCTCTAAACTACAAATTAGGAGCGAGATTGATACGATTTAAATGAAAAGAATTTAAAACAATAATGTACTACTTTCAAATAAATAAGTTCTCATAAGTTGGCAGGTACTCAGGATGACTACAACATATCAAGGAGCGATTGTGCATTAGGGCGGAGAAATAAGTATGGAAGGTAAAAATCTTTGGGCAAAATTTGGTACTTCGCCATTTTGATTCATGGGATTTAACGAAAAAATTGCACTTTTACAAGGCTAAAAAACTTATTGAAGGAGCGGTGCAATGCTATTGCGATGGACTAGATGGACTAAATAATTCCATTTGAAATTCTTAACATTTGATTTGAAATACATAACATATCATTTGTTTTTCATAACATTTAATTTTAAATTCGAAAAATATTATTGGTAACGCACAAGGAATCTGTATGAATTTGAAATTAATTGTTATGAATCACTACTGAAATTTTATGAATTACAATTGAAATGTTATGAATTTCAAATTGGATTCTTTGAATTTCAAATGAAACTCTACGAAATTCAAAGGAAAAATTCGAATTACAAATGATACGAAAAGTTTAAAATTACAAATGAAACGTTGTGAATTACAAATTACATACTCGAATTACAAGTGAAATGTTATGAATTGCAAATTGAGTTTTCGAATTACAAATGAAATTCTCGAATTACAATTGAAATGTTTTGAATAACATTTGAAAGAGGTGTAGTATCTTGGCTACAATTTTTGTTTTAGCATTGGATAGGAAATATCAAAGGTTTGGCTGTTATATGCCAAAATAAAAACAAAAAACGTGACAAAAGTTTGTGAAGAAGTCAAAATCAGAAGATCGTATGTTCTAGTGGTCTTTTTTTCTCAGTACAAACTCAAGAATAAAAACGCGAAGAACCCAATGCGAAGTGTTATTTTTGTATTCTAAGATTTTTTTTGTTAGCTCCCACATAACGACACCTTCAAAATGTCGATATATTGTGGAGTATTAGGGTAACCCGCCATACAACTAAAAGCAATTCGGTTATAGTATTATGGATTCTCATTGGATGGTAAATATTTCTACCAAATATTATCAATATTGGTACCCTCTTTGAGGTAGCCCCCATAAAAAATGGTTATTTCGTTATTTTGGGAATGGGCTTTAATTTGATATTTTGGGTTCTTATTGGGTAGCAAATTTTCATAACAAAAAATAATCAATAGTATACCCCCTTTTTGACATATCCCACATATGACGGAGTTTCTTCCAACTCCCAGAATTACTTTACATTCTTTGACTCATCGTATTGCCATCTATGATCCAGCCAAGAGACGGTTTTTACAAAACCCGATAACTCGTATTTGATTTGGCCTACACAAAGAAGTTCGAAGAAAACTTTAGCGCCAAGTAATAAATTAACTTTCTGAGTTTTAGTGAAATTAGGATCTCCCAGCCCAATACTTTTAGGAATATTCAAATTAACGGTTTGAGGACTTGTTGTAGAACTCAAAAATTGGTTTGAATTGAGTGTCGACAACACAGACAGTTGAACTTTATTTTTCGAAATGGAAAATTAAATTTAACCTGCCACTTTCTCGTTTTATCTTAAGCCTTTGTACCAAGTCCTCAGTTATCAAATTATGTTGGGAACCGAAATCTAATAAACCTCTAGCCAAAATATATTTTTCTGAGGTATTACGGATCACTTCACCAATGCTGTAGCCAACATCACGCCTTCATTTGACGATGAGAAGTAGAAGTCTGCTCTTGATCGGAAGCATGCGAACCACTGTATACTCTAAACTTCACTCCTGAATTGCATTTAGCAACCGTATGACCTTTTTTTAGGAATTTGCTACCAAAAACTAAATAACACCTCTTAGTAGAAGAACAGCTGTCGTATGTTTTTGTTTTGCAGCTTTTTGATTACAAATTCCTGCAGAATTAACAATCATTTACAAATTCAGGCCTGAAACTAGGTTTGGGACAGATTTTGAATTGAGTAGGATTCTAGGTTAGTGGAAATCCTTCTTGGTTTTACGTATTGATATAATTAAATTGCATTTTTGTTTTCTAATTATTTGATTTTTAAATATTTTCTTAAAGATTATCTGTTTTTATTATCTAAGTTTAATTCTTACGTACGTTGTATTAACTTGTAATTGTAGGTGTTCACAGATGGGTGTGTTTTGTATGTATGTTTGTTTCTATACATATATTAAATTGATACAACCACAACACCGCACAATATGTGTTTGAAGAAATTAGTCACAAAACTCATTTCTAAATCTAAAATTGCCTTAAGTTCCTAAACCATAAGCCAACAATTTCCTGATGTTTTTTGTCTAATTAGAATTTTAGAAAAAATAATGAATTGGTATGGTAGTATATTAAATGATAATTGAATTTGTAATTTGGACAATAATTTGATTTAATAACAAATAAAAAAACACACACAAATAAAGCAACAATAAATATAAGGGAAGTGAAAACATAAAACGTCAGGACACAATTAATTATGAACTAAATTTTACTTTTCTAAATTATGAAAATGATAGTTTCTTTTTTAAGACAGATAAACTGACGTTTGGACAATAGACTCAATGAAAACACTACAACTGGGAATTGTTGTAAAATTGGGGTTAATTTGGTTTTTAATGCAAAAAATAATTAAATGAAATTAAAACTCTCATCAAGAAGCAAGAAAACTTGCGTAAAACAAAAACAATTAAACAAAGTATATTTGTATGTAGCATGTTGTATAAGGCATTGTAACTGGTTGTGTATATATATAAAATAAATTATAAAAATATATATTTAAAAAAAACTAATTGAATATTACGTCAATTAATAAATACTAAAACAAAAAAACTAAAATTTTAGTAGATAATAAGAAGAAACAAAATTATATCATCAAAGGCAACGAATTTACTTACCTCTTCACTGGATGATTTATCGTGACGTGGCGGAGTTGCTGGTGAAGCTTGACTTAGCAAATCGGGTAAAACACTGCTCGTGCGGGTACCAGGTGTACCAAGATTTTCCGTATTGCGATTCTAAATTGTTGTGGGGAAAGTAGAAATATATAGACAATTTGTTACTTTTTTCATAGAAATACTTCAAGCTATCAGACAAAATAGTTTTAATAAAAAAAAAATATACGAGATAATAAGTGAAGATTTTAAAACGCTTTCAATTTATTTCCTATTTTATAAATGCTACATGTGATGGAGGGGATATACATTTGAAATATAATAATATGTTTAAATAGCTTCATAATTAGCTGAAATCTCTTAAATACAGAGTGGTAAAGCTTTGATCAATGCCACATTTTTCCTACTAGTAAATGTATTTAATTTAAAGAAAAAAAAACTGGAATTGAGATTTACAGTTTTGTTAAATAAGAAATTCGAAAGCATGGATTTATCCTGTCCTGGTAGTTAAGCCCATTATAATGAAAATTTGTGCCGTTTTCAGATGCTATGATTGCATAGCTTGTGGATTAAAACACAGTTTTCGGTTAGCTGTTATAATTTTCGAAAACTCAATTTGCAATCCATAACATATCAGTTGTAATCCGAAAATGTAATTGGTAATTTACAACATTTCATTTGTAATTTTTAAATTTTCATATGAAATTCAAAAAAATCAATTTGAAATTTAAATACATTAATTTGTAATTGGTATATTTCCATTTGAAATCCGTAGAGTTTCATTTGAACTTCAAATAAATTAATTTACAATTCAAAGAAATCAATTTGTAATTCATTCATATTTCAGTTGTAATTCGTAACAATTCATTTCAAATTCATATGTCTTCTTTGTGTGTTGCCAATAATATTTGTAAAATTTAAAATTAAATGTTTTGAATAACAAATGAAATGTTATGCAATTCAAATGGAATTCTGTGAATTTCAAATAAAATTTTATGAATTTCAAATGGAATTTTATGAATTTCAAATGCCTTCATTTGAATTTCAAATGGATTTCTATGAATTTCGAAAGGTATTCTATGAATTGCAAATTATATGTTGTGAATGTGGAATTTTCGAATTGCATTTGATATGTTTTGAATAACATGTGAGAAAGGTGTAGTTGGCATTTTTGCCAGGGTTCAACCCATAGGTATTCGGTATTTGCTTCAGTTATTGGCTGTCTTATTTCTAAACAAGTTTTCATTCGCCATTAAAAATATTTTATGATAATTTCTAATTCGTTTGCCTTATTCAGGATAATCGTGACATTTTTATTTTTTAATTAAATAATTATTAAAACAATATTTAGCATTTATAATTAAGATTTTTCATCTGTAGCATTTACGTTGAAATAATTTGAATAGCGTCGTTTATATTTATAAAAATGTTTGTAAATAATTCTTACATCTAAAATGAATGCCAATGAGTTTAACAAAGACCACATTTTTTATGAAAATGTAAATGATATGAAAATAAAAATAACAATAAAATTCACAATAAAAAACACAGACAAATTTCCCAAAAACCTCCCACCAAAATTGTTGTTTTAAAATAGAATTAAATTTGTCTTCAAAAAAATGAACAAAAATGATTTGTATGCAAACAACATTTGTTTATTTTCCTATACAGCAGCAGATATAAACAACAATCGTTTGCTTAGCAGAAGCAAAGGAAAAAAATAGAAAATATAGATGATATATGATGTTACAAAAGGAGAAGAATTTTATAAAATATTTTTTTATTATATAGTATTTACAAGTATATTAGTTGCATAATAATTTAACAAAAAAATATCCTTTTCGTTTTCCACTTTCTTGAATCTTTGTAAAAATTATGGAAATAAGTTTAAGATCAAAATACATATGTAACCAGGTATCTATATTGGATGTTAGAAAAGGCCATGTTTGAAATGAGTGTGTCCTGTGCTGCTCAATACATGACACTTGGGCACATTATGCAATACAGGGAGAATAATAATTCCACATCTAACATCCTCTTTTTCTAAAATAAGGTAAGGTATATTGCACTATTTTGATAGAAATCAATCCATTCCATTCTATAAAGGGCAAAAGTTAAAGCCCAACATAAGAGATTGAATTAAATTTAAATTTAATTTTTGTGATAAAAAGAATAAAAAAAGGCATGGCCGTAGACATAGATTATTAACAAATTTTATCTACATTGGATAAAAAATACGACCAAAGGACATTCATAAATAGAATCACAAAGTGATTTTTTATATACTGGAGGAAATATATAAGAAAATAAAGTTATAGATAAAGTTTTTTTTCAGAAATATATAAGTAATTTATAAATTAAAAAAAATATATATAAACTAAAAATGTATTTTGAAAAAAAAAAATATATTCTATGGAAAACTAAATTGACCCAATTTTTGCATGGTCAAAACTAAAGCAACTTTTTGATTTTTTGTTATAAATAAGCCAAATTTTCTAGTAGTCAAGAGCCTAAACATTTTTTTTTCATTACGGCAGCACACCTACGAGACATTGAATCATTAAAATGCTCAATTTGATCGTTGGGTATACTGTTCCTTGCATCCTGAATCCTTGGGAAGAGGTTATGCCTGTTTGTTTGTGAAACTCTTTTGATTTTGCTAAACATTTTTCTATAGGGTAAAGAACTGATGATTGTGTTGGCCATTATAAAACCGTGATTTTTGAATCCCACACCCAATCTTTGACATGTTTTGGTATATGTTTGGTGGTAATTGTCAAGCTGAAACACCCAAACAAGCGGTATATTTTCTTCAGCAAACATTTGTATAGACAATCCGATCCCTAACTTCATACATCTCGTAAATATATCGAACTCCATAAAAAGAAAAACAGTCTAATTCTGTGGCATGAGCCTTTCATTTTTGGACTTTCGCACGGTAATTTTTTCATGTCAGAGTCTTTAATATTTAACTTCAATTTATTCGAGAGCATAAGATTTCTGCACTGAGTCGAATTCCAATTTCCGATTCTTTTCAGAAGTAAAAGATCTTTCCGGGCATGTAACCTGCTACAATAGCTCGTTCACGCTCTCTTCTTGAGGTTATATCCAACGATATCCGCCTCACAAATTCCGTTGAACTCTTAAATGGGTATTTTTTTTTATCGCTATGACAATTTGTTGATCAGTACGAACTGATGTTCGATACGATATCTCTAGATTATAAAATGTTATGTGACATTTTATAATCTTGCAATTTTAGTTGCTTTAGTTTGGGCCACCAGAGCGTATATATCGAGTGCTACCATGATTTCAATAGCCGGACATTGGTAAATCGACGTAGAATTTAGAGGCTCGCAAAAGTGTTCACATTTTCCAAATATCTTCCAATGCGGTCATTTAATGTTAAAAAAATCGCAAAAGATTAAAAGATGTTTTATCAAATGAGGAGGGTATCAAATAATCAAATACAAATAGCATCGAACTTTTGGAGGCTCACTATAATCAATTAATGACCTTTGAAGAGAATTATGTTAACCACCCAAGTAATGCCAGAGAATTTGCCCTCAAAATAAAATATTTTATTTCAGAATATAAATATTTCATTGAGAAATTTTAAAATTTGGATTAAAATATGATTTCATTCTGAAACAACTACACCCTTTTCACATGTCATTTAAACCATATGAAATGTGATTCGAGAATTTCATTTGTAATCCACAAGATATAAGTTACAATTCGAGAATTCCATTTGAAATTCATAACATATCAGTTGTAATTCGAGAATTTCATTTGTAATTCATAGAATACCTTTCGAAATTCATAAAATTCCATGAATGAATGAATTGCGATTTAAGTCCTTAAAATGCTCGAATTACAAATGAAATGTTATGAATTGCAAATTAAGTTTTGGAATCAAATGTTGTTTTGAATAATATATGAAAAAGTTGTAGTATATTAAAAAGGGCTGTGGGGTCAGATATTTGGGTTACGCCCATATAGATCATATTCGAACTGGATCTGCCAGCAGTCAAAACAGACGGATGGACGCTGATTATTTCCATTAGTTACAAATGAAAAAACGAATTTAATATACCCTCAATAATATAAGCCCTATCTATACATAAAAATAAAAATTCCTTTTTTTGGCAAAATAATGTTCACATCTGTTATTTATATATTTTATATTCTTTACAATAAGTAAATATTTGGTACATGTAAAATCTCATTAGCATCCATATTATAATTATTATAAATTAAATCCAGTATTTAATTAAGATATATAAAAATTTCTGATTTTTAATTTGTTAGCCACAATATGGTGCATGTTGTTAAATATACAACGACAATAGCATAATACAAAAGGAGGAGGACTTTTGTTTGATTCTACCAAATATGGCAGAGGTTCTTTTACAATTTGAAATTAAAAAAAAACAACAGAAAATAAAACATGCTCCCAGGGGGTAAAAAAATAATAATAAAACCAAAAGACCTGTTTGACGATCAATAAAAAAAAATCCAACAACTTAGTTGTCGCTTGAGACAGTTAAACAGGTTTATAAATAAATAATAAAAAAAAACAATAATATATACACAAAAATATATAAAAATCATTGACAAAAATTATTTACAAAAAGGTAACAACAAAAGTGTATGCAACGTGCTTTAACACAAAAAATATATATTTTTAAAATAATTGGTGATTTTTTTGTTTAATTTGATGTGTAAGTGAGTTATGAACAAAATATACAAATGTTTATTTACAGAGATTAATTAAAATTAGTATAACCAAATAAAATATATAAACACAAAACTAATTAATTAATAAATGTAAATAAAGCAACAACAATAACAATGTACATACAATGCATCCAATGGTTATATCAAGAAGAATTGTAATACTCATTTATTAATAATTACGTTTCAAGTATTTTGTGGAAACAGTGTAGAATCGAACAAACGAGGTCGCCTATCTATAAAAAGACCCATCAAAGATCTTTTAAATATAGACGGTCCATAAGATCTGAAGAGATTCTTTCTATCTATAGAAAATCTCCATCCATTCTCTATCTTTAGAAGAACTATCACAGTTATTGCCGTATTCTGTTATAAGGTGTACGTTTGCAAACCAAATTAATTTAGCCTAAAAAGGATCTAAATATCCATTACACTGTTCCCCAAAACAAAACAACTACAAAAATATTCCTAAGTGTTATTTTTTGACCAAGGCAAAGGGGGTTATACGGGGTTATTTCCCATTTCGGTATTAGATATTTAGTGGTGGTTGTGGATGTTGACAAACAATACAAGAGAGCATGTTCAGATGATAGACGCGTTGATGTTCGCCTTTATGTTTACTTCTATAGAGGTTATCGTGTTAATCGGGGAATTGTATTTTTAAAATATAAGCATTAGGGGATATGAAGGCCAGAAATTAAGGGAAATACATTAATCTAAAATGGTGATTTTTTGCCCAATGTATATGGAAATAGGATGAGTTACAGACAGACAAAAAAGAGAGAACAAGAGACAACGAGAGCGATGAAAATCTATGGTTTTTAGTAAAGCTTTCAATTTGAGCCTTAAATAGGAGGTGAGGACATGTGAGTTGTGTAAGAAAGTAAGCGAGAAAGAGAGAGAGAGAGGAGAAAGAAGCAATGTTGTTGTTTACCTGCTGCTGCTGTTGATGTTGCTTTTGTTGCTGTTGCACCAATTGTTGGGCAAACATTTGTTGTCTGGCCGCAGAGTTTTGAAAAACAATAACCGATTCAGTCTTTTCACGACGTGGACGTAAGAAATCTAAATTACTAGTCCAGCTAGTTTTATTTGGGGCATTTGTTGTCGACGTTGCACCAGTGCTTCCCGAGCTTTTGGCATTTTGTTGTGACTTATTCGAGGAATTCGCCGACGCCTCTTTGGAACTCTTATTCAAATCATTTTTATTATTGTTATTACTAAATATACTGTTATTTCTTGGTATCATGGCACTGGCTCTCTGAGCTGCTGAACCAAAGGGCGACGAAGATTGTTGCTGCTGTTGCTGCAATAGATTTGTATTGACCAGCACTGCTGAATGTCGTTTGGTTAGGGGGAAGAAATCCGAGTTTTCGCGTCGGAATCCGCGTATAAAGTTTTGTGGCAATTTTGAGTCAGACTCTTGCCTTTTATGCGTGGCATTATTGTTGGCACTTCTCAAGGCATTGGCAGTATTTGCTGGCGATGAAGACGACGAGGACGTGGATGATGTTGGGGAAGACTTATTATTGTTGTTGCTGTTATTATTATTACTAGTTGAGCCAACTTTTGTTCTACTGGAATTTGACATCATTGAGGCTCTGGTTTGATCTTTGGTCTGCTGTTGCGGCGTAGCACCAGCCTTCAGTGGTTGAAAACCTTTTGGCGTTTGTCTTGAACTTGGCACCTCAGCCATGCTGCATCGTTGCAATTTGGTATCTGCTTTTAGCGTACTACTATTTGAACTGCTAAGCACACGTGAAAGACTACTGGATACACCACCACCACCACTAGCGGTGGTAACCGCTGATAGATTGTCATTTGAGCCCACCCCTCCTCCTCCTGCAGCTGCTGCACTGCTGCTGGCAATTTGTTTTGGAAAAAATTTCTCAATATCCCATTCTCGCAAGAGAGCAACATCACGTAATTCATTTTTCGGTCGATTAGCACAAGATGTCGAAGCGGATTTTTGTAAACGATTTTGATTTTCGAATTTCTATATAGGCGAAGAATTTGATTTTTGAAAAAATTGTAATATGTAGTTTGTTGAGTGTGTGTGGTTTTTTTATTGTTTTGCAATACGTAGAAATTGAGGTGGAAGAGGGTATTCTTTTTCTTATGATTTCTTTTTTTCGATTTGATGAGTTTAGTTTAATTTTTTATTAAGACAATGTTATGATTCCACTGAATGATAATTGTTGTATGTGTGTGTGATATTTGAGGGAAAACTATGACTAGACTAAAACTATCCATCGGGGTTTTTATCGGACTGCCGAAGTTCTATATAAAAATTTTCACGCACGGATCGAATTTATAACCAGTAAGGAAAGTAGTAAAGTCGGACAGGACCGATTGTGTGTGATACCCACTTTGCGTATATTCTACATAAGTATCCTAACAGATGTTGCCTTTTCGAAGGAACATTGGCATGTAATTGAACGAACTTAAACATATGGCTCATATATATATATATATATATGAGCCATATGTAAATCTGAATCTATTTCAACAAAACTTGACACACATAAGGCTATACTAACTGCAGTATATTTTACAACATTGTGTGCCAATCGACCAAATTTTGGGTCTTAAGTGCACAATTTACATTAAATCCTACGGAAAAATATATATGGGAGCTATATCTAAATCTGAACAGATTTTCACGAAACTTAACACACTTCATTCTAGATTCAATTCAGTAGGCTATGCAAAATTTCGTACAAATAGAACTATATCAAAATCTCAACCGATTTTCACGAAACTTAGCATACATCATTCTTGACTCGATTCAGTACGCGGTTTTCGTGAAAACCGAAATTTCATGCAAATCGAAATATATATAGGGACTTTTGTGAACCATTTACATTAAATCGGACGAAATTATATATTGGAGTTATATTTAAATCTGTAATAGAATTCGCCCTTGGGCCAAATAAATGACCTAATTTCATGCAAATCGGTGAGTTTGGTCCAAACTAACTTGGGATCTAAAACTAATATTTTCATGGGGACATTTTCACCGTAGTAAAGTGTATATTCCCCCTTGGCCATAAGGCTGGCTGTGGGCATCAAAATATTGTATAAAGAGCTGCCCGAGTGTGTGTTACTTATGTGGAACATATGCCAACATTTTTCTGTTTTGTTATTTTAGAATTTTCGAAATATGTTCGCGTCTCGTAAATTTATTCCACCTTTTCGATTAAAACTTAACGCATTTAACTCAATTTTTTTGAAGCAATCGGTAATTCCAACATTTGGACACCTTTCTGAATAGTGACTTCCAAAATTGTATATTAACCCATTACACGAATCAAGAGCAGATCTAGTTTTTATAGCTGGTGCAGGAACAGAAACACCTCACATTAAGCTCTAATATCACACATATAAATTCACAACAATTATTTGTTACAGGAATCATAAAATGTCAACAATACTTGAAAGAGGATGAGATGCCTAACTAAATAACTATATTTTGCAAATTTTTCATGAATTTTCATTCAAATTTCATGTATTGTTTACGCATTCGGTATGGAAGAGTTTGAAAATAAATGAATCGAAGATATATGTTTGTTGTTATACTTGTATTCGGACTATATAAAAATATATACATACAAACAGATATGTAAATATTTTTTATTACAAAAACACAAACATTCGGATTTTAATAAATATCTCGTTGTTGGTGTTAAAACAAAAAATGAGTGAGTGTAGTCAATTAAATCGAGTATATATTCACAACAAATGATTGTGCATTTTGGAAAAAAATGCTTTATAAAAATACATAGCAAAGGTGCAGAAGGATATATTAAGATGATATAATTTGTTTGTACATTTTTTGCATTGTAATAGTAAAATTAAAAAAAAATTGTAAAATAAAAAAAATGTATTAAAAAATTCAGGAAAATATTTGCAAAACAAAAAAATAATATTTTTCATATTTATAATAAAAATTATATATAAATATATATAAAAGAACCGCAACCATTTAACATCGCTAGTGGTTGGTTTGTGTTTCCTAATAATAATAATATATTTCAATATATATTTTTTACAAAAACAAAATTAGATGAAATTGGTTTACAATAAAACCTTAAACCCTGTATAAAAAACATGTTTAGAAAATTTAGTTGCATTGAAGAAATTAAACAAATCAAACAATCGGTTAAAGGAAAAATTAAAAAGAATTATAATATTTGCTAATAAAATTGTTATTTGTATTAGAATTTGTATAGTTTCATTAAATATTGTTTGACACATTATAACCACACCTTCGTTTTGTCTACAACAATACATACAAGTTGGACTTTAATGTTTTTTTTTCGTTTTTGTTTAAATAGAAATAGAAAAAAATGTAACTACCTACGAAGAGTTTACTATAAAAAATCACCAATTTCATATACAAAAAAATAAAAACGATAATCAATAAAAAAAACATTTTTTGAAAACATTTGACTTTTGAACAATTTAGAATTTATACAATTTTTATAGGTTTTCAAATCAGTTTTGATACTGATAAAATAAAAATTTCACACTTACCCTTTTCATAATCAATGTACGATCACCGGCTTGGTCGTCATCATCTGGTGTGGGTGGTAGTGGACGATTTGGTGGTCCACCGCTGCCATGGGTAATGGGTGTTGATGATGAATCCTCTGATACTGGCACCAGGCCAGGCCTATATGAAAATTCAGGACTTGTTTTTATAACAAAATCATAATACAACAACAAATAACAAAAAAAATCACAACAACACAAAAACAAAGAGTATGATAATGAAGAAGTAAAATAAAATTAGGAATAGAAATGATGCAGCAAATTAAGAAAAAAACAAATAAAATGGAATTTTTAAATGAAAATGAATAAAAATTCGAATGAAAAAAATATATATTATGAAATAAAGAAAAAAGAAAGAGGAGGACGAAGAGAGTAGTTATGATTTATGATTAGAGAATTTTGTGTGATGATTGGTTCTTCTATATACGATATATGAAAAAGTACTGATTTTAATTTCTAAATCTATATAAAGATGACAAAGGGCAAATATTTCCTTTGAAATCATACGTAGAAACGATGACTGTGAGCATAATTATCGACTGAATCTATTAAAAAAAGAAAATTGATATTCTAAAGCAAGGTGTTTTGTTCGTCTTCGATTTTTATGATATTAATGCTCAGGATATATTATATATCTAGATGTAACTGTCAAGATGTACTTGGAAAAGTTGTACCAGAGACCTAACCTTCCAATTTAAAGTAGGTTTGGTAAGAATATTACGCAGTGCATTCCAATTGGATTCTCCATTCACTTATAAAATGCACAAAATTTTGGAACTTTGTGGACGGTGCATTTGGTATGTTGCAGCACAGTGCGCTGTCCACAATATTATCTCGTGTATATGGAACAGACTTAACCTTCTCGGTGAACCATTTACATAAAATCAAACTGGTCCAAATTCAGAAAGCCGTTCAAAAATGTGTATCAATCGGACTAATATTGGGAGTTTGGTGTACCATTTAGTTAAAATCGAACGAAACCATATATGGGAGCTATATCTAAATCTGAACCGATTTCAACAAACCTTCACAGACATTAAACTGGACCTAATTAAGTACGCTGTGTAAAATGTTGTCTCGATCGAACAAATATTTGGTTTTTGGTGCACCATTTACATAGAATCGGACGAAACTATGTATGGGAGCTATATCTAAATCTGAACCGATTTTAACAAAACTTCGCATATAATAAACTGGTGCTAATTCAGTACGCTGTGTGTTTGATGCACCATTTACATAGAATCGGACGAAACTATACATGGGAGCTATTCTAAATCTGAACCGATTTCAACACACCTTTACAGACATTAAACTGGACCTAATTAAGTACGCTGTGAAAAATTTTGTCTCGATTGAACAAATATTGCAATAAGATTATTTTTATGTTGTATTTTCATTTATGGTGTATCGACATAATCTAAATCTGACACTTAACTTTTACAAGACTATAGAAATATTTGCCCTTTTAAGATTTATTAGGATTTAGATTTAAATATGAAACGTTGAGAATGATAGAGATTGTTGACCACATGATAAATCTGAGAGGATATTAAAACGTTTACCGAGGGTATATTCTTTTCTGACGATCGTGCATTATAATCCAGTAAGGAACATTCTTTGCTTTGCATAATCTGATTTTGCATAAAAAAGTAGATATATCAAAAAAAGAAACGGGGGACCACAGTTAAGTATAGTGTAGTTGATATAAATATTTCTACAGCTATAAAATGTAGCATACTTTAGGGATGACTTTTTAAATAAAGGGGTTTTGATTGAATATATTTCTGGAGTAGTTTTTTTTAATGTGACATTTAAAGATGAATTGTATTTAGTTTTTTTTTTTAAGTTTTTTATTATTCATTGAACTCTCGATAAGGTGACAACTCAAACTGACATAAAAGTATTGTAAAAATCAGGGCATTAGCGGCAAATAAACTGGTCGAATCGAAAATGTGTACAAATTCGAAAATATAACCTACCCCCGATATTAATAATTTCACATTATCGAATGTTCACTGTATTGGATGTTCACATTATCGAGAGTTCACGGTATTTTAGGAGTTGGATTGGAATTCTATTTTACACGAAGGCTTTGAATGGAAATAATGAATTAAAATTGGAAAAATTGCAAATCTGTGTGTCATAAGGAAATGATCGATAGAAATATAAAAATTCTAAAAGGTATTATTTATAATCAAAAAATATAATTTACAAATCGCAGATTTAATTAGGTGACAGCTGATTTATATTTTTTTACATTGGTTCCCTTCTTTTCATTCTAAACGTTTCATAAACATACTAAACAAATCTAAACATATACATATTATTATTTGATATAACATAATATTTAAATAATAAAAACATTAATTGCTTACAGTGGCTTGGGTGGATCACTGGCCAAGAGTGTACCATCGTTACGACCACGATCGTTTGGCTCATCCGGTTCACTGTCCGAATCACTGCTATCCAATGGATCCAAGGGATTTGAAACTGCCACATGATGATGATTATTGCCCGATGTGGGTAATGGTGCTGCTGGTTTGCCCGATCCTGATGGTGGTACGCCGCCCGATTGGCGATTATTACGTGGTGGTGCTTCTGGTTGGGCTGATTGCTGGACAAATGAAGATGATGCAGCCGCTGCTGTCTGTGGTTGAGGCTGTTGAGAGACGCCCAATTCATTTAATTGTGCTGCTATCATATCCAAATCCTAATTTTTTTTTACATTTTATGTTTTGGTTCATGAAGGACATTTAGTGAGCGTTTGCAGAGTTTACACAAGGTTGGTGGTGGTGATGGTGGTCGTGGTGGCGTTGAAAGTTACGGTGATAATGGAGGTGGGTGTGTGGATAATGTGGTTTTGATGATAGTTGAATACAAAATACAAGGTGGCAAGGAAGTAGGAAGATCGTGTGTGTATGTGTGTAGTTGGGAGTAGATTTAAAGGACCATGGTAATAGTGTGTGGGCGGGCGGGCGTCATCACAAACACATTTCATGTATTTCCATGTCATCAATTGATTGATTGTTGTTGTTGTAATAGTGATTGTAAACAAGGACGTTGTGTTATTGTGTTGTTCATTATAATATGCGATTGGTTGTTCGGTTCGGTTTGGTTTTTTTGGATAGGTGGTGTTGTTGGTGGTTGATTGGATTTGTACGTTTAATTTCATTTATTTTGGTTACGCCAATTCATGTTTTGCATAAAACAGTTTGTAGGCCACGGAAAAATAAATAAAAAAACAAAAATACAGAATTTACATCAAATTTGAGAAGAGAGTAAATTTAGGTTTACTAGACCTAGGACTTTTCTTAGTTATTTTTTTTTGTTATAATAAAATTGTATGGCAAATAATTACAAAAAACAACAACATTTAGAAATTTAGAAAGTATTTTTTTTTTCTCAAGCAAGGGATTAGTATATAATTTGGAAAATTTGTTTTTAAGACTTTTTTATTTTCTCAATAGAAATATGATACACAAAACATACAAAGAACTTGTTCATGCAACAGATAATATAGTGATGATTATGTACAAAGAATGAATGAAATTATTGTTTATTTGTGAAAATATGAAATGTGTTAGGCGGGGGAGGAGGGGATAATAGATTTGTTGTTAAATGGTGGTCAGGAGGATTATATTATTTACAAGTTGAAGGAATCTTTGTCATACTTCTTTGCAGGAAGAAATATAGAGCTTGTTTCATTTGTATCAAAACATAAGTCAGGTTTAACTCAGTCGATCTGGCGAAAGCCATTATCTATAAATAGAGCTATTACTTCTTTCCTTTTGGACAACCAATTGTGATTTATTATTTGGCAACCAATTTTGAAGCATTTAAAATGTTTTATGCAAAAAACATGCCAATTGAAAAATCTTCTAATTGACTCATAGACGGCGTTACAAAAATATAAATATAATTATTAGTTGGCAACTAACATTAGTGTATAAATATGATAAGTTCCATTTTCGTGCCTGATCTAGGCCTAGTAAAATAAATATAATATGCTATGTTTGGATGAGCACCCCTTAGGAAGGGGTGCTCTCACAGGGAATGTTATCGAAGTCGTAGATTATGCGGACGACGTGGTGATATTGATTTCCGGAAAATTTCCGTCAACAATACCGGAGCTTATGCAAAGAGCCTTACCGACGCTGTCACGCTGAGCCAAGGCGAACGGCAGCTCTGAACGCAATGCTGAACTTAAGGCCTCTGGTCTGCCTGAACAAAATCTTTGGCGAAGTTGTACCTTTGAGCATGATTGTATCTTGAACGAACATTGGACCAACGCGGAAACCAAACGACTATATAACTTAAGTCCTGAGATTTGACGTTAGAAGGTACAGGGGCTGGCGATCCAAGATGGAAGAAGGTACAGGGGCTGGCGTCTACTATGAAAGGCTAGGCCTACAAGCTGGATAACACTGTAGTGTTTTCCAAGCTGAAATCTTCGCGATTTGGAAGGCAGCGGAATTGATAAAAATGATGCAGAGATGTGCAATGTGTCTGCCTACCAAAAGGACACACTCACTGTTGAACCTGAGCGAAGCAGAAATAAGAGTAATGACAGGAATCATTACTGGTCATTGCAATATCAGGGCCTTTAACAGTAAATGGGACCATGATGCTTCTGACTACTGTAGACTCTGCGTTGGCGAGGAGGTGACGGTGACAATTGAGAATTTCCTGTGCCGCTGCTATAGACTGCACAGACTAGTGGGTGCTCACTTTCCACCGAGTCTTAGTTTCTTCTCAACAACGGAACCTGCTCTAATCTACAGCATCATTAGAAACCTATAGTGGTTGAATAAGTGCAACCTTGACACGTAATATATCTTCTGTCCGATCTTCATAGCCATCGATACTATCTCATACTTATCTTCTCACACTTCCTTGTAAACTTCTCATCTTTTAATGCATCTTACAATGCAATGGTCATGAGACAAATTATTACAGTTCGATTGGCACGTTCTACCTCATCCTCCGTACTCCCCAGACCTTGCTCCTTCCGATTGCTACTTGTTCCTCTATTTAAAACATTCTCTCTGTGGTAAAATTTTCAAATCCATAGGCGAAATAAAAACGCTCACAGATGAATATTTTGCAAGTAAGCCTCAACAATTTTGGAAAGAGGGCATAATGAGGCTTCCTGAGTGATGGAATAAGGTTGCAGTACGGCTTATATATAACACAATAAATCAACCTCAAACAACAAATATCGTGTATTCATTTCGCACCAAAAAAGGAAAGGAACTTATGGGACAACCTAATATTGAGTTGATTTTAATTCAAACTTCATGCTCCCATTAGACAATTTTTGCTAAGCTGCTGCCAGAAACACGAACTTAAAGATACCAAATTTTAGCATAGCACTCAAAATTTCCGAAACGACTTTTTTCTTTACAAAAAATTCTGAAATCGAATTCATTACAGTTCGATTTGTTTTTGTCGGAAATATTTTGTTTTTGTTTGTGCCTTAGAAAGTCCAGACAGACCAATTGATTATGAAACAAATGGCATTTAAAATCCTTTACTAATCCACACATGTATGTATGTATATAAAGAAATGTGTATCAGGAATAAATAGGTACAAAAATGAACAAAAAAAGTGACATGCAAAACATTGTTGGAGCGATGCTTAATGGAACAATTTTTCAGGAGTCTTTTAAGAATACTTGTGTTGGTGGGGTCGAGGTCTGTATACATGTGTGTTGACCGATTTATATATGTATTTGTGGTGAGGTTAGCACAAAGTGTTTTGTCTGTAGGCATGACAAAACAAAAACCTGCTGCTATACTGAGTAGGTGGGTATTTGTGGTAATGCACGTGTGGAAACGTTAGAACCATAGCCGAAGAAACCTGTAGTGTTGTTTTAAATATTGTGTATCAAATTACATTACGGAAGTTAACATTACATAGTAGGTGGACCGATAACTGCTAGGTATGTGGTATTTGAAAAATTCTATAAGGAATGAAATGGTGGTGGGTCTTTTAATACCACATAAAGTAAGTGCAAAAAAAAAAAAAACTTTGAAAAAACAAAATATAGCAACAATTGACTCCAACGTATGGGTTTTCATATTATTATGGTTGCCAAATGCAATTGTTGCCAATGGAAATGTAGAATGCCCCACACACAAGGAAACAAAGAAGGGTGGTACTGGCATTGCAACACGATATTTAAGTGTAAATGATAAGACATAAATTTGATTGGTTAGGGGATTTTTTGGGTAAGATAAGAGATAGTCTACTAGGATTATAGAATATATATATATATATATATAACATTAGGAGAAAAATACCGGAAAGTTGTCTATAGGCGACCAAACATTAGCGCTTTTATAGATATTATGAAAAATTTATTTCAGTTTCGTAATTATAATAGTCTTTGAAAAAGACTTGAGATGGGTCTTCAAAAACCACTTTAATGGACAGAGTGTCTAGTGAATAATAAGCGAGATGAAATATGAAATAAAAAAAAATTTCTCTCAAAACTATTACAACGGATTTTTCGTTTAGCAAAACTTTACAAACGTCCTTCGCATATGCATACATATTAATATTTGTCAATGTAATCTTGTGTTTGCGGGTAGTATATGTTTGTATGTGTAGGTGTTTAAGTGCACAGTATGAATGAGTAAAAGTCAAGGTGGTATAGCAAAATACAACAAATACATAAATATTTAAAAAGGAAACGGATGTAATAATAGTTTTTTTTATATCAAGAACAACATTTAGGAAAGAAAGTGGGAGAATAGTGTAGATGGATGGAAATAAAGAAAAGAAGAAAAAGCTGAAAAGAAACATACCTCAGGTCTCCTTGGTGGTAACTGTTGGTTGTTGGTGATTAAGTGTAGTTTTTAGGGGACAGCACATAATAATGTTGGTGGTAGTGTAGGAGGATAATATTGTAGATGTGTATTGATAGTGTTGTGTATTTTTAAACAAAATTTGTTATTCCACACAATATTTTGATGATCCCATGGTGTCATTTATTAAGACATCGACCGCACACAAAACAAATATGTTTTGTAATTAGGATTTCATATACGATGTTGTGTGTGTGTGTGTGATTTTTATTGTTTTGGATATTCAGGGAGGGTAGAAATACAGATGCCGGACACCAATAATAAACATGAAAATAAACAAAAGAAAAGAAAAAGAAAACTTTAAGAAGGTACACTTACAACAAAAAAACAGAACAAGGGAGCTTTTTAAAATGAAGGGGGAACAAACGGTTGCGGGGAAAGCACCCAAATATAAATTTCAAAACTAATTACTTTATAATAGGGGGTTTTTTATTTTATTCTATAAGTTGGGGTGGTAAATGACTGCTTGTATATATTTACAAAAATATCTATTATTTTATATATATATTTACAGAGACATGTTATGTTGAGTGAGGCAAAAGGCTTGGTTGGGGGTCTTAACACAGATGCAAGGGACATATGCTTTACTGAACACATTGATTTTGGTCACTTTTTATGAGAGGGAAACAGGCGGGGCTTGGTTTCACACAACAAAGATATACACAAAACTTACCGATGGTTTGAAATTATTTTGTGAATTACGTTGCTGTTGCTGTGGAGTTTGTGCGGCGGACGAGGATTCTGAACTTTTCGGTGTGGGTGGCAATGGTCGATTGGCATGGGGAGGATCTGGAACAACAATGAGACGTTGAGGTAATGCAGGACGTGATGGTGGTCCTGGTTCTTCGATTTGTTGACGTTGATCACGCTGCAAAAAAAAAATACATTTAAATATTTAGTAAATAAATTCATACTTTAATGGTTATGTATGTTGTTGTTGGACTTTAAAGAGAAAAGTTTCACAAGAATGTAAGGGAATCTTAAACAACACAACAACACAATATGAGGTGGATAATGGCGTTTATAAAGACATTCAGATTGGTTGTAAATGAGTGAAATTTTGAGGTGCACATGCCTGCAATAGTGAAATGTAAAGAAGCCTTTAAGAATCACAAGAGAGATCTCCTGATATAAACTTCTTTGATGAGGTGGGTGGGTAATAAATTTTTTAAAGACTTTCAGATTGGTCGAACCGAATGGAAGAATTTACAGACGAGCATAAGGTTGTATGTATAGACAATTGCGGTAGTTATATATGAACTGGTTGATTAGTTACTTCAAAATAGGCCGATAGGGATGGTTGCAACACATGCTCAAATATGTAAGCCTGATTAGGTTATGAATGTACAGGGGCTCGGTGTAATTTCTGAAGGGACAAAGTAAAAAGAGGGTTTAAATATATAATTGCCTTGCATGTAAACGAGCTTATAAATCAAGGTGAGTCTACTGATAGAAAGGTGAACAAATAAATTACAAATTATTACAAATAAATTACAAATTATTACAAATAAATTACAAATTATTACAAATAAATTACCAATAAAAATGGAATACCGCTAGGACAGATATTGACAATTTTTGGTAATATTTGATACCAAAATATAAGAAATTTCGTTTGAAATTCGTACCCAAAATCAACAAAATATCAAAATGGATTCGGTAGAAAATATGGGCGCTGAATATGGATGCTATCCTGAAAATGAAACCAATATTGATAATTTTTGGGGGCTACCGTTAAAAGTGAACGAATATGGATCATTTTTGGAAGCTTTGCTATCCAATGAGTACCAACAAAATATCAAATTACTGCCAATTCGACTTCAATACCGAACGAAGGTTCAGACAAGGTCTCTCGTGTGACCTTCTTAATATCCTGTTGGAAAATGTCACACGAGAGGCAAAGGGGCACAGAAATGGCATTCTCTACACCAAACAACATATGTTACTCGCCTACCCCGATTACATTAAAGGAATGAGTCGAACGTTGCGAGAGGTAATAGCCACCTTTGAACAAATTGAGAATCTGTCAAAGTGGGTCCGGCAGAAAATGGTGAAAAGACTGGCAGTGATTGGTGAAATGGTATCAACGCGCAAGACGTCCAGTGGACTCGGACCAACTGGAGTGTTTGAGAGAAAAATGTCCCGAAAGATCTGTCGGTCTATACACGCACATATCGAGCTGCAGCGACTACGTTGGCTAAGCCATGTTGTGCAAATGGATGAAGATGACCCAGCTTAAAAGGCATATAAAAGCGAGCCTACTGATGGTTCATGCCGATGGGGAAGGCCACGAATTTAAATCTTTCGAATTGGAAAAACTGCGCACAAGATCGAGGAGCCTGGAGTTTTATTTTAAGCTCGTCTTTTGAAACAAATGTTCTGTCTCGAGCCAGCTAAGTAAGTAAATAATTCGACTGAAAAACGGGCCGAAACTCTCCGAAAAAAAACTGAATATTGGTGGCGAATATATACACTTTATGGGGTCTTCGTTGAGTTGCACTTTGTTTCCCACCCGCCTTATATTTCTTACCGATGGTGGTTTTTGATTACGATTCGCCTGTGGCTGCTGAGCTTGTGCCTGCTGCTGTTGTTGTTGCTGCTGCTGTTGTGCGGCTTGAGCTTGAGCAGCTGCTGCCTGGGCTGCTGCCACCGCGGCCATTTGTTGCTGCTGCTGTTGTTGTTCGGCGGCAATTCGTCCCTCTTGAATCTGTTGGAAATTGCGACGCAATGTATCACCCGGTGCTTGAATAATTGAACTTGGTTCACCAGCAATCTGCGTATCGTCATCGTCATTGTCGGAGCCCGAGTAACGGTAATCTTCGCGTTCCTTTTCTTGTTTGCGTTTTTTACAGCGATCGATGTGATCCTTCAGTTGGATGCGTACCTGACGGTCTGTCGGTTGATCCTTGATAAAAGCATGCTTAAGCAATTGTTCGGTATAAGGCCGCTGATGATAATCTTTCACTGTAAGTGAAAAAAAGAAACAAATAGTGATTAAAGATTCAAATAATATTGAATTGTATTCCGGCAGTACATACCTAACACTGTATCTATAAAACTTTGAAATTTCTTTGTCCACTTTCGATTCGATTTCAAACGTGGCGGTGAATTACGTGGTATCAAGAAGAGAGCACGCATTGGATGCAGATCGCACAGCGGTGGCTGTGATTCGGCCATTTCCAATGCCGTAATACCCAATGACCATAGATCGGAACGATTGTCATAGGTGGCTTCGGGATTCTCATCGCATGCTATGACCTCGGGTGCCATCCAGTATGGTGTACCAATGAATGTATTCCGTCGGCCTATTGTCCGATCCAATTGTGCCGATACACCGAAATCGACCAATTTCACTTCGGCATTATCGGTTAGCAGCACATTCTGACCTTTGATATCACGATGTATAACCTTGTTCGAGTGCAGATAGGCGAGACCGCGCAGTATTTCGCGGCAAATGTATGCAATCCATTCCTCTTTGAGACTTTGTCCTTTTGTTGACTTAACTAGATCGGTAACTGAACCAGCACCACAGTATTCCATGACCAACCACAGTTGGTCATCTTTACCCGGCGGTGATTTCTTAATGAAAGCACCATAATATGTAGCTATATTCCGATGATTTGAGTATTTCTTTAAGACGTTAATTTCTAATTTGATTTCTTCTTCTTCATCTTCGGTGACATCCATCACCTTTATGGCAGCCAATTGACCAGTTTTTGTATGTCGACCCTGTGGAAAGAAAGGAAAGAAGAAAAACAATTGATTAATAATCGAAGGGTATGCAATAGGGGAAATTGATACGGAATTATTTTAAAGTGTAAATAGTTTTGTAAATATAAATAAATTTTAATTTTTATAGAGGTATAGGTATACGACTTTATAGGTATACTGAAGCAGGGTGTCTTGAACCATAGGGGTACTTATAGACGAAATGAATCATTGTGTTTGAAGGGCGTTCTGAAGCTCAATGAAATTTTTAAGGACTATATGAAGCTTTCGAGCTTTAGTCATTCCCTTAAGAAAGAAATTTTCAAAGACAAGGCTAAAACAGGGTTGCTTTACCAAAAATATCAGGTTTGAGTCTTTTGACACGATATGAAGCAGTCCTTTGAACTTTAGAGACGTGATGTAGCAAGGAATCTTTAGAGAGGTGTTGTTGTAATGAGTCGTCATAGCCATGTGGAGCTGGAAATTGAGCTGGAGCGTTGTGTCGCCAAGAAGCAGGAAGTAATTATAGTTTTCACATTAATTAAAAATTTTATGACACAATGTCAACACTGAGTTACGCCTTTAAGTGGTGGCCTTAAATAAGACACACATACACACTCTAACCGTGCCGATCAAAAGAAAATAAAAATATTATAATTGTCTTTATGGATCTAGTTTAAAGAAGAAAAAGGCTTTGCAGACACAAAAAATAGTTTTGTAGTCTCCTTTTACGTTTTAGTTGTTGTTGTCGTTGTTGTTTGAAGCATCCAACCATTAATTATCGTTCTTCTTTTTTTTCTATAACAAGGTGTTTTTTTTTTTCAAATGTAAAGCAGAAATCTGGTTCAAGTTTCAGTTACCTCTTTCAATAGATAAGAAGTGCAACAAATCGTTAGCTGTTTAGGAAAGTTGTATGTCTCGTCCCCGAAGAAACAGTAGCCGGTTGTCGTTTTGCCTGTAATCTTCAGATAGACACAAAGCACTTGTCTCGGGTAATGAGTGCTACGCAAATGAAGTGGATTGCAGTTCGGCAAATGATGATAGAAAATGTAGTCAATATCAAATAATGATAAAAATTGAATATTTACTTTTAAAAACAGGAAATACTAAGTGTCAGGAGAAGAAGAAGAGAGAAACATCTGAAAAAATCTGTCGTCAAATGTCTATATGAACTTGAAAAAGATGGGTTTTATATGAAATCAAATGAAATGAATTTCAAATGCAATCCTCTGAATTTCAAAGGTATTCTATGAATTACAAATGTAATTCTCGAATTACAACTGATATGCTATGAATTGCAAATGTAATTATCGAGTAGGAAATTATATATTGTGAATTAGAAATGGAATTCTCGAATTTGATATGTTTTGAATAACATGTGAAAAAGGTGAAGTACCAACCGACCCCATTAAAATATATTCTCAATCAGGGTAAATTCAATTAAAGGCGATCTAGCCATGTCCACCTCTCTGTTCGTCCGATGTAATCAGTCTATCCTTCGAAAGAAATTGAGACAGGGAATCGAAATTTTCTTCCGAGTTTTATTTTTTCTGTATCAAGGCCAAGTTCGAAGGATAGGCTGCATCAGTTTTTGACAAGATTTTTAACTGAATGGGCTGTAATTTGATATTTTGTGCTCTCAAAGGGTATCATTTGGAGAAATTTGGACCCGATTATTAACCGATTGGGCTATAATTTTAAAATGTTTCGTGCTCATTGGATTACAAATCTCCTTACCATAAATAATACTGTGAGACAAAATCGAGGTCATGGTCTGAGGTATGGAAAATTCCTATTGTATATGAAAACCTTACTTAGTATCTGAAAACACCGGAAGGTTCATAAAAAATAAAAATAAAAAAAGAGGATGTAAACATGGGACTATCATTTTTTTTTTGTCTTTGAGGGTCCTATATAAATGTTGTATAAGCTACATTTTTGTATAATATTGCGAGGATAAAAAAATCGCATCTCGTGATGTAAACATGCGAATATCTTTATACCCTTCACCACACTGTGGTACAGGGTATTATGTCTTTGTGCATATGTTTGTAACAGGCAAAAATAAACGAGATAGACCCATGGTTCCTTTTGAGAATATGCATAGAATCACTTTCAAAGTCAATTTATGCATGTCCGTCCGTCCGTCCATCCATGTATTTTTGTGAACAAAGTACAGGTCGCATTTGTGATCCGATTTGGATGAAATTTGGTATATGTCACTTATTTGGCCCAAGGACGAACCCTATTGAAATTGGAGAAAATCGGTTCAGATTTAGATATAGCTCCCATATATAGTTTCGACCGATTTAATGTAAATGGTGTACCAAAGTCCCTATGTATCTTTTGATTTGCACGAAATTTGGTATAGCTTTCTGAGTTAGGTCTAGAATGATGTGTGCTAAGTTTCGTGAAAATCGGTTCAGATTTAGCTATAGCTCCCATATATAGTTTCGCCCGATTTAAGGTAAATGGTACACTAAAGTCCCTGAAAATCATTTGATTTGCACGAATTTTGGCATAGTGTATTAAATTAAGTCTAAAATGACGTGTGCTAAGTTTGGTGAAAACGGTTCAGATTTAGATATAGCTCCCATATATAGTTTCGACCGATTTAATGTAAATGGTGTACCAAAGTCCCTATATATCTTTCGATTTGCACGAAATTTGGTACAGCCTATTGAATTAGGTCTTTAATGGTGTGTGCTAAGTTTCGTGAAAATCGATTCAGATTTAGATATAGCTCCCATATATAGTTTCGTCCGATTTTGGGTGAATGGTGTACCAAAGTCCCTGAATTTTGTCTAGAATGACGTGTGCTAAGTTTCGTGGAAATCGGTGCAGATCTAGAAATAGCTCCCATGTGTAGTGTCGCCCGATTTTAGGAAAATGGAGCACCAATGTCCCTGAAAATCATTCGATTTGCACGAATTTCGGCATAGCGTACTCAATTAAGTCTAGAATGACATGTGCTAAGTTTCGTTAAAATGGGTTCAGATCTACATATAGCTCCCATATATAGTTTCACCGGTTCAGATTTAGATATAGCTCCCATATATATTTTCGTCCCATTTTATGTAAATGCCCCCTAATTAATTCGATTAAATTTTAAACAGTGCAGCAGACCGAATAGCGTGTGTCAATTTTGCTTTAAATCGATTTACAAAATTTAACATAGGTTGTAGAATGACATGTGTAGGGATTGATGTTGTCGGTTTAGATATAGATGAAGATCACATATTTAAGTTAGTTCAATATCATGTCAATGTTCCTTCTAAAAGGCGACGTCTGTTAGGATACATATGTATAATATACCCAAAGTGGTGAAGGGTCCATATAGTCGGCCCAGTCCGATTTTACTACTTTCCTTACTGTTTTTTTTTGTCATTGAGGGTCCCATATAAAAGTCTTATAAGCTAAATTTTTGTATAATATTGCGAGGATAAAAAAATGCATCTCGTGATAATCGGTTCAATAAATGATGAACGAAAATGACAGCCAAAAATAGATATAAAAGGAAGAAATGTTTTACAAAAAATTTCTTAGTCGATAGCTACAAATCAAGATATGAAGCTATTTCTTCAGGTATAATAGGGTTGTTAACAAAAATATGACAAACATTCCCTTCTGCGATTTTCACCAATAGAATTTTAAATTGCACCAAAATCTTGTTAAACCGATTTATCAATGTCGGTCTGCTTTTAGGATATAAGGGTACGCCCCGTTTTCCGCATTTTGTACACTTTTCTCAACCGAAGTGGTAGTAATTTGATATTTCATGCTCTCATGGGGTAGCAAGTAAAACTCCCAACCAAAAATTATCAATATTGCGTCATGTTTAGGTAGAGGTAGGCCCCACCCATATGCCGGTACTGCCCATTTTTAGTATTTTCAAGATTTTAAATACATCTGAGCTCTCAGGGGGTAGCAATTCTCTCAATTGTAGAATTTGTGCGATTCTAATAATTCTTGTTCGAACCAGAACCAGCCATGTACCCTTTCGAATGCCGTTGGAATTTTTGGATTCGGACGTTCCACTGGTTGGAAATCATGCCCACCATCGAAAAGAAGGACTTTTCTTTAATTACAAAAAAAAAAAATTAAAAATTAAAAAATTAATTTCTTTTTTTCTTTTCAGTTTTCAAATACATTTATGCAAAGGTACAAGTCTTCAATATAATGCAAGCTTGAAAATCGGCGAAATTCTAAATCGAGAATGGGGGATGGGGTCCCTTAAAATAAAAATTGTAGTTAATCTCATATAATTTAATTTTCGATTTGGTCTAAACTTTGAACATCGTAATATTTTTGTATTTTGGTAGCAATTGATGCATTTTTCTCATAAATACACGGAGATTACGCAAATGAAATTCCAGCCACCTTTTTCACACCTAATTATGGCATAAACATTTCCGAAATGAGAAGATTTCAACAATTGTTTGAAATTTTTGAATTGTTTAAATTACAGCGCGTATATGCGGAAGAAATACAAATATTGGTCCATTCACAATTTGCAGGAAGAAATGCAACTTCTTTAATAAAATTCTTCACTTTATTACTTCGTTATTTTTTCACTCTCAAAGTAACAAACAAAAACAATTTAATTACAATAAATTTTGTATCTTATTTTAGTTTGTTTATATTTCGAAAAGCTTTGCAAACGATACAAACATAAATATGTTTGGTTAATTCCATTGTTTATATGTATATTTTGTTTGGTGTGTGTTTTTTTTTGTTTTGTTTTTTCAACAATACCCTCCTCAACAGGTTATCTACTTTGGCCTACATTTTGTTGGTGTCGTCTGTGGTTAACAGTAAATAAATATATGGGTCAGATTTGTTGCATATATGTAGATACATACATACAAAAAACAAACAGACAACTCACATTCACTCACTATAGGTATTAAGAATTTTTCAGAATATATATTTTGAAAGTTAGTTAGAATATGTTAATTTGTTGTCGTAGTACCTGAGGAACTATTTGTGATTTTCGTCGGTATTAATCACACCTATT